AACACCTCATTCTATATGTTATTTTTCATATTCCTGATACTGTTTAGGCTATTTTATTAGTGTTTCTGTGGACGCTTTCTGTTGTAGTTACAGATTTTTAGAGGTAGAAGGACAAGTGATCACATAGTCCACTTCCTAGTGATAGGGAAACTAAGTACAAATTCAGGGTCTTGTGTTTGGCTAAAGTAGGGAACAACCCAGGCCTAAAAATCAAGTTATGATGCCTGCTTTAGTGTTCTTTCCACCACTCCCTACTTCCTTCCTCTAACAGCCACTAGATTTCAAATGTGCCTTCATCATCGTCACTGTCATCATCATCCCACCCTCATCAGCTGACCGCAGTGGGAAACACCATCCATTTTCTTTTCTTAAACCACGGAAAAGTTCTTCCAATCTGCATAATTTCCTTCTTTCTTTTGGTTAGGGAAAAATTGTATTTATTCAGTAAAAGAAAAAGTCAACTGAAGTTATATTGTCATTTGGGTGTTTCTGACAGTGTCATAGTATCAGAGAAAGTAGCTGTGTGAAAATCAATGGCAATGACGGAGCAACAGTGCTGCTCTTGAAATAGAAGTCCTCTTCCTTCCCGTATCAGTTTTAACAATTTTTGGGGGGAACACCTCCCTTGTGCATATGCTCTGGTCCATAAAGAAGCAGTGTTTTCCCTGGCTGGCTCTTCAAGCATATCCAGTGATTGGGCTGAATGTGACACTGCTCTCAACACTCTCCTTCCTGACAGCCCCTCGCGCTATTCTACTGTCCAACCTCCACTTGCAGAAATTAGACTCTCTGACCTGTCTGCCTTGTCAAACCTCTCATCTTCTTCTCTCTGGCTCCTACTCAATACATAATCCCTCTGGAGTATTTCATAGTAGAAATATGATTCTATCCTCATCCACACTATTGGTGTCAACCTGAAGGACCTGCTTTAAGGATCAGTATTTACCCTGTTTAAAAAGCCCTTTCCTGCAATAGGAAGTGGCAACATCCAACACAGGTACAACTGGATTCATCACAGTAAAACCTTGGGCCACAGATTGTTAAATTATGTTCTTGGTCTTTGCAATCCTTGATCACATTATTGTTCTTTAAACCATTAACATGGAAATACTTTATTTATTAAAAGTGATTAGGCCAAAGCCTTAAGACACATGTCTAGTAAAAGGGATCAACTCACCCAAAAGTATATGGGATTTAAAACCCTTTAGCCAAATCTCTACCAAGTTATATTTTCTTTAGAACTAAAGAGAAATGTTTCAGATATTACTACTAAAGTACCAATGATCTTCATTCATCAAGTTTAGGCTGGTTTGGCAAAATTATTTGGTTTTATGTTTTCCATGAAATAAAGCTTCCACAGCGAAAAGTAATCACTTGGGAAATGGTTGGATTTTCATTTCACGGGAGTTTGTAGGCCAATTCTCTTTTATTCTCTTTGAGTGGTTTCATACTAACATCAGTTCCTTTTGAACGGATTGGACCTTTCATTGTGAATAAAATTTCAACATTTTTGCAAATTGAGTGTAATTAAAACACATGTGGGTGCAGGAAAGTAGAACTACATATAATGGGGTACAGGCAACAACATGGCTTGGAAAAGCTTGCCTGCTCTTTCTAACGGGAGTTTTAAACTCTGACATGAGGATAACTTTCAAGAAGCCAAAAAAAGAAACAAACAAAAAAACAATAAATAGGAAACACTAACAATGCTCCTCCAGGGACGGTAGTTGACTCCGCAACCTCTCTCACCCAGGGAACAGAAGAGCCAATCACAGGAATCCCTGCACCTTGCCAGTAACTGTTTAGGAAGGTGCGTGCAACCTCTGCCAACGAGAAGGTCAGTCAGCTAGACTGATTCTGATGTTTCCTTGTTCTTAAAACTTAAAAACTTAACTGATCTTGAGGATTTACTATTTAAAATTTTCTAAATCAGCAGCTATTTACAAAGTGTTCATACAGTCATGCATTGCTTAACGACAGAGATACGTTCTAAGAAATGCATCATTAGGCGATTCTGTCATTGTGTGAAGATCATGGAGTGCACTTACACAAATCTAGATGACACAGCCTACTACACACCTAGGCTATATGCTACTATTCTTATGGGACCACCGTCGTATAGGTGGCCCATGGTTGACTGAAATGTTGTTATACACCACAGGACTGTAAACTCTTCACTGGTTTGCTATGAGAACAAAATAAGATTAATATACGTAAAATATTTGGAACAGTGCCTGGCACAGGGCAAGTACTTGATAAGTGTTATCTATTTTATACCTGTTATCATGACTATTATTTCTGGCTCGGACAAGGAGTTTTGCTTTAAAAAGGAAAAACAGAAATAGGCGGTAGCTGGAGAGGATAGTGGGGGCCAAAAGAAGTTGGGTTTTTTTATTTTTGTTTTTTTTGTGGGTTTTTTTGAGGAAGATTAGCCCTGACCTAACACCCACCACCAATCCATTTTTTTTGCTGAGGAAGATTGGCCCTGAGCGAACATCCATGCCCATCTTCCTCTACTTTATATGTGGGACGCCTGCCACAGCATGGCTTGATAAGCCGTGTGTAGGTCCGCACCCAAGATCCCAACCGTCGAACCCTGGGCCGCCAAAGTGGAGTGTGCAAACTTAACTGCTGCACCACAGGGCCGGCCCCAGAAGTTGTTGTTGTTTTTTTTTTTAAGGTGGGAGAAAAACATCCTAAGTGTAGAGAGGTGGTTTAACTAGGGTTGGGATTCTGCCAAGAGAGTACACAAAGTGAGAGCGGGACAAGGGATGACTGATTCTAAGAGTGATGCTGATGAAAGACTAATGAATCTAATTTTGGTAAGGGAGTAACAGCCAGTCCTGGTGGTCTAGTGGTTAAGATTTGGTGCACTCACCACCACAGCCCAGGTTCATTTTCAGTCAGAGAACAACTGCCTGTCAGTAATCATACTGTGGCAGCTGCTGTGACGCTGAAAGCTATATCACCAGTATTTCAAATCCAGCAGGATCACTCATTGTGGACAGGTTTCAGCAGAGCTTCCAGATTAAGACAGACTAGGAAGAAGGACCTGGCCACCCACTTCCAAAAAATTGGCCATGAAAATCCTATGAACAGCAGCAGAGCATTGTTTGATATAGTGCCAGAAGGTGAGAGGAGGGAGCAAAAAAGATCAGGCAAGGTTCTGCTTTGCTCTCCACAGGGTCACTCTGCTATATACAGGGTCGCTAGGAGTTGGAATCAACTTGAGGGCACCAACAACAAAAGGAGTAAGGGAAAACATGGCGGGGGGAGGGCTGAGAGTCAATTAAAAGGTTGTTAAGATCAATGGATTGTAGGTCCTGGTGGGGTTGAAGAATTACTGGAATCAGAGTATAAGAGAGAATAAAATTAGAAGGACAGGATGTGCTAATTTAGAGAGGAGAAATGTTAAAACTGAGAAAAAATATGTGGCGGCACTTTTGGGTGCAGACAAGATTTAAGATCACGAGAGTGGGAGACTGAAGGAGAGTGAAGGGTAAATTTGCTAGAGAGATCTTATGATCTTGCATACCTTACAATGGCATAGAGGTCCTATATGACCCACGTCTATGTTTTTCTGATTTTCTCTCCTACTTTTCCCCTTTTCTCCAGCCATAATGGCCTTCTTTCTGTCCCTTCAGCACACCAAGCATGTTCTGCTTCAGTCTTTGCATTTGTTCCCTCAGCCCATTACACTTTTCCCCAAGATAATTACATGACCAACTCCCACATCTTCTTTGGCAATTTACTCTAATGTCACTTTCCCATGGACACTGAAATCTTCAAGATTTAGGACACAAGTCGTGTTGCAGAGACTGACCAGGAGCTAAAACTCCGCAAGGCTGCGGCACACTGGGGAACTATCAGATAACTGCAATGAAGAGGAGGAGTGAGTGGTGTAGTCTGATAGCACGAGCTTCAAAGCTGAGGATTCTTACAGAAGAGAGAGAGAGAAGAGTCTAGAAGTAGCAATGAATAATAGGATCAGACGTTTTCCTCCTCTGCAGAGTTAGATAAAATATAAAATTTATTAAGGTTATTGGTAGCTCTTACATAAAGTGAGCCCTAGCTGAATCTATTCACTGCTAACTGCACATACTTTACTGTGATTGTGTTTTTAGGCAATTCAGTAGATCATCCAGAAAATGGACTATGAGAATAAAATAAAGCTTACTGTTGTGCCAGTAATACCACTTGGAACCCTTTGATTTTAGCAGTAACTATGCAAGGAATCGACTTCCCTTTAACCTGTGTAGGCTGAACACCACACAGCAGACTGCACACTCTACTAGAGTTCCCAATCATCAATTCAAACAGCCATAGTAGCTTTAGTCTTCGGGAGAAGGCATTTGCCTGCTGTGTCAGAGAGGAAATACAATGGTAACAGATGTGTGATATAGAAGACAGATCTTTAAAGTCATAAAGAGAACATAAGTTTCTTCCATCTTCCCAGTGAACGGTCTTAAGTCCTTTTGTATTGCCCTTCTGGGTGAGAAGAGGTCTCATCAACTATGATCTGTGATATATAGATTTCTCAAAGGGCTTGAACATACTATATAAAATAATGGAGGGGGGGGGCCCAAAATCACGTTCACATAATATTTTTCACCTTTGGTAAATAATGTTTTGGTTCTGAAATGGCACCACAAGAGACATTTCAAATTAGCAGCTTAGTCATTTTTTTTTAAATTTTTAAATTTCTTTTTCCTTTTTCTCCCCAAAGTCCCCTGGTACATAGTTGTATATTCTTTCGTTGTGGGTCCTTCTAGTTATGGTATGTGGGACGCTGCCTCAGTGTGGTTTGATGAGCAGTGCCATGTCCGCGCCCAGGATTCGAACCAACGAAGCCTGCAGCGGAGCGCGCGAACTTAACCACTCGGCCACAGGGCCAGCCCCAGCAGCTTAGTCATTTTGAGCAAAGAGAAATGAGTAACAATAAATGTCACCTTCTAAAAACAACCAAATAAAAAATTAAAAAGTAGAATACAAAGTTTAAATCACAGGGTAAAATATGTACTCATTTTAATCATGTATGTTTTAGAATAACTTCTAAAAAAATCAAATACTTTCACTCCTTATCTATTTCTATACATCTTCATGAAATACATGTCTAATGACGCACTGTTCTGATACCCTAAAAGGACTCACTTATATAAGATATATACAGGAAAAAAAAAAGAGGATTTGAGGCAGCTAAAAAGAACATTGCTTTGAAGCATAACTACCATGCCTTATAACATGATTTCACAATAGTTTAGTGAAATAACATGCCACTCCAATTTTTACAAACTGTTCTATCTACCAAAAGAAGGCTTTCATGTAAAGTGTCTTACAGACTGTGTATTTTACTAATAAGTTTACCAATGACTAAGAAATCACTAAAGAAGTGATATGGGGGAAATTAGGAAGGTTATGTATTCACAATAATTTATGGATTAGCTCCTGAAATTTGGATCAAGATCTAGACTGAATATACTATACACTTCAGGATCCTCTAATTCCTAAAAACTGACATAAAGAAAAAATTTAAAAGTCTATAACAGTGTTGGGAAAGAAGAAGGTGTATTTTGATTAATCAGAAATTATGAGCAATATCTGAAAAAACAAGGCAAATGAAATCTAACTGAAGGAAGAAATCTTAACCCAAACTATGAATGAGCAGACCGCTACAAAAGGTGCGAAGGGCTCAGAGGTTGGGCTGCTTTTGGTTCAGCCATGGCAGAGGCATGGTATTGCTCTACAATACCAAAAACAAAATGAAGTCTACACTTCTAGAAGACTCGATAGTAGTTGCACTCTTTCCCTATAATCACCAGAAACAGGCTAAATTAATGGAACATTTGCAGAAAGGCTAATAAGGAATTTGAAACGATAGATGAGTAAAAAAGCAAGAACCCACCAAAGATATGAGGGAAACCAACACCATGAAAGAAGGGCATCACACTCAACAAATAGAACTTATTCCTGAGAAAATAATTAATAGAGCAAAAAGAAGACTTAAAAATATATACAATTAGTATCTTGAGAATGCCAAGAGGAAATCACATCCATGAAACAAAATAGGCTCTTAATAAAAACAATTAAAGATCTTAGAAATAAAAAGTGTGAGTGCCAAAAAGTAAACAAACCAAAACACCAAACCCCAAAACAACTCAACAGATAGGCTGATTGGCAGAATGAACATAGCTTTAAGTTGTGTGCTGGAAGACTGAGTGAAGGAACTCTCCCAGAGCCCAGTGCAAAAGACAAGGGGATGAAAGTGTAAAAGAAAGAGACATGGAAGACAGACTCAGGAGTTCTAATATCTACCCTAAAGAAGTTCCATAAGGATAGAACAGAAAGAATTTAAAAAGATAAGTGAAGAAATAATAAAAATAAACATCCCAGAACTGAAAATAGACATAAGTCCTCAAACTGAGTGAGTCCAAAAAGTGCTGAGCAGGATGAATAAAAAACAAAGACATATCCTGGTGAACTTTCAGAACATTAAGGATAAAAAGATAATCTTAAAATTTCCAGAGGGGAAAAAAAATGATTGACAAAGGAATTAAATCAGATTGGTACCAGACTATCCATGATACTTGATATGAGGACAATGGAACAATATTTTCAGAAGTCTAAGGGAATTCTATCCCCACCCAAACTGGAAATAAATACATCTTCAGATGTACAAAGACTCAGAGAGCTTATCATCCATAAGCCCTTTCTGAAAAAATTTCCTTGAGAATATATTCCAACAAAAGAAATAATTCCAAGAGGAAGAAATGCATAGATAAAACCATGGAGGACAAAGAAACTAATAAAAATTTGAGTGAAAATAAAAAGTATTGATTAAAAAATAATAGAGAAGTAGAATAGGTAAATTCATTGAGAGAAAATGCAGATTGGTATTGCCAGGGACTGGGGGTAGGGGAGAATAGGGAGCAACTACGTATGCACAAGGGTGGGGTAATGAAAATAGTTTGGAACTAGACAGAGGTGACTATTGTACAACCTTGTGAATGCACTAAATCATTTAAAGTGGTTAATTTTATATCAATTTTACCCCAATAGAAAAAAAGAGTTCCAGGAAAAAGGCAACTAGACCAGCTTGGAGCTCAAACAATTACATACAAGCGCTTTTTTTTGAGGCAACCACCGTACTTCAGTATGCAGCTGAAATGCTTTATGTGTTCTTCACATGGACTATTAAAGGATGTGTATCGAAGGGTTGAGATTCAATACGATTAAATTAAAAAAATAATATGGAAGCCAAATTTCAGGTGATCAACAAAAAAAATTGGTTCCTGAATGGGAGAGAAGCAAAGCATGCTGAGGTTCTTTAATTGTTGGAGGAAAAAGATATAGATATTGATTGAAGTCAATGCTTATTAAAATTAAGTTAATAAAGTTTCAAGGGTGAGGAAATTAGGGGAACAGGGGTGATTTCAACAGAGTTCCCTTTTCCTAAGCCAAACGGATGCTCAGACTTACAGGTAACTGGTGTAAATGTGAGTGAGGCTTGGGGTTCTCTTGGGGTCCTGTCTGAGAGAAAAGGGAACTGATATAGAACTTTCTTCTCCGTGTCTTGAAGCTCAGGGGTGAGGATCAGAGGGTGCTGGACCCTGGGGAGAGCCTGACTGTGAGGGATACCTGGCGTCTATGTAAGCGTACTGCATCTTTTCCAAGCTCAAAAAGGAACTGAATAGGGAGACTGAATCCTCCCTGCCTTTGAGGCTGAGAGACCACAGGGCGCTCAGGGAGATGAGGGACGTTGTTCAGGTACCTCAGCAGGGACTGCCACTTGACTTTTCACTGCTTGGAGGACTATTAACATGTAGGCTTATCCCAATAAAGAGATCTGAATTCAACGAGCTGAAAAAGAAGAATAACCCGTTTAAGGGAGCCCAGCAACCAGGGAGAAAAATCACCAGAATAATCAGAAGATATACTCAGTAAAATAAAAATGCTACAGAAGAAAGATGAAGACATGAGTAAAAATAAATAATAGCATTTAAGGAGATTCAAGTACAGTGCACGTACACACACATTTCTAAGAGCTTAGTAACATTATTTTTGAAACAAAATTTTAAATAATTTAAGAGGTTGGTCACTATAAGTGCAAGAAATATCCATAGTAGAAAGCAAACCTACATAAATGGAAATCATGAGGGAAGAGATTTGGAAAATAGATCAAGGAAATATAATGTGCAGATAATAGGTGTTCTGAAAGAAGAAAAAGGAACAAATGGAAAAGATAAAATTAAACAAGAGATAATAGGAAATTTTACCTGAGTTAGAGAAAGACTGGAGTCTGTTCACTAAGTTCTAGGCTGCACTGATGAGAAAAGCACACTTGGCAAAAGTTCCTGAACTCTAAGGATAAAGAGAAAATCTTATGAACATCCAGAAAGAAATAACAAGTTACTTAAAAGGAAAAAAGTCAGACTGGCAATGAAATAGCCAGTCTACACATCCTGAGACAAAGAGCATCTCTCCATCCTGAGGGAAGAGGACTGCCTCCAAGGACCCTTTACTCAGTCAATTTATTAGCCATCTTTCAGAGCAAAAGTATAAAACAAACTAGAAAAGAGACCTCAAGATTAAATAAGAGCAAAGGAAACACCAGTCAGCCATGTAAAATTAAATGTAAATGGATGAGGACTGACTTCTCAAGGTAGTGAAAATAGAGACGTAAAACTTTTGAAACAAAGAGCAGGGTAGCAAAATCACTCTGAAGATCTTACTGTGAGAGCACAGTGAGGAGGTAAATGCATTCTAAAGAAGGAGGGGGAACTTTGCTCTGCCATTTATCAAAACATAGTACAAAAAACCCCTGTAATCCAATAAATACGGTATTGATTTAGAAAAAGACAGAAAGAATAGTTGAACAGAACAGAGATTCCAGATGTAGGTCCCAGGTTACACAATATGTGACAAAGGTAGTGGTTCCGTTTTGTTGGGAAACAAAGAACCATTTAAAAAATGGTGTTGGTATAGCTGGTTATCTATTTTGAAGAAGAGAAGAATGGACACCTATGCTACACCATGAGCAAAACTAAATTTCAAATGGATTAAAGACTATCTTAGTCCATTTGTGCTGCTATAAGGAAACACCACTGACAGGGTAGCTTATAAACAACAAACACTGCTCATAGCTCTGGAGGCTGGAAGTCCAAGATCAGGATGCGAGGGCCCTCATATGGGTTACAGACAGTTTTACATAGTGGAAGGGGCCAGTGAGCTTTGTGGGATCTCTTCCATAAAAGCATAATCCCATTCATGAGGGCTCCATCTTCATCACCCCAAGGCCTCATCTGCTAATACCATCACCTTTGGGGTTAGGATTTCAACATATGAATTTTGGGGGGATACAAAATTCAGAGCATAGCAAAGACTGAATTTGAAAAAAACATTACAAGAAAATCTATAAAACTACCTGTATTATCTAAGCAAAGACATATTTTTCTTTGCCCTATATGACCGCATACAAATATAGGTATAAAAAACTAACCAAGAAAACTCAATCCAATGAAAGATGGGAAGGGAAAAGAAACACTAAGAAAGCACCATACATAGAAAGTATACAATAATATGGCAAGAATATACGAGAAACAATATACAAGAATAAGTGTAAACATATGCATAAGCACAAAAATATGAATGGTTACATTCACTTTCATCTCAAATTGGGTGAAATAATAGGAAAATCTAGCTGTACATCATTGACAAAAGGCAAACCTAAAATAAAATGACATCAGAAAGGAGGGGAAAAAAAGACATATCAGGTAAAAAAATTAAAAATAGGGTTTTTTCTGTATTTCTGTTGAATCCAAGTACATTCAATAGTCATGGACCTTTATATACTTAAGAACAATGACTAGAAAAGCAGAAAGCTAAAACTGAGGATGAAGAGAAATGGATACAGTAGTAATCATATTGGGATCCTAACATACTTTCACAGAATCTGAGAGGTGAAATACATAACATATGAGTATGATATAATTTAAATGCCATCATTTAAACCCTGAATATATGGATGATATAAATCATATATAAAAATATTTTTATATAATTCTGTACCCCTAAACTCAGAGATTATATATTGTTTTTCAAACATGTGAGACACTGCTAACAAGTAACTGTGTATCTTAGATCACACAGAAAATTCCAACAAATTCCCAAAAGGTAGAAATTGGTTAAAAAGGAAATCAAAGTTTAAATGCAAGATAAAAAATAAACCAGGATGATAGCTTTATATATCTACATCCATGGGATATGGTCAAATTGATATGCACAGAAAAATATGTAGCCTTACATGTACTTTAGAAAACTAGAAAGGCTTGAAAATAAGCCTTAAGTTGTGGAAGGTAGAAAAGTAGAGTTTATGAATAAAATACCAGGAGCAGGTTCTTGAAAAGACTAACAAAAATAAATGAAACCTTCAGTAAGTTTAACTAAGAGAAAAAGGTAAGCTAGAAATAAACACTAATAATGTGAGGGAACAATGACAGATATGGAGATCAAATAACTTGTAAGAGAATATTATGTACAAACTATTACAAAATTTTAGAAAATCTGGAAGAAACAGACATTCTTCTAGGAAAACATAAAACTGGCTCAAAGAAAGGAAAAAAATCTAATAACCTGTGATTATAAAAGAAATAGTAAAAGTACTCAAAAGATTTCTCTCTCAAAGGTAACAGTTTATAGATGAGTACTATCAAATCTTTAAGAAAGCAAAACTGGGGCCAGTCCAGTGGTGTAGTGGTTAAGTTCTTGCACTCCGCTCCTGCAGCCTGGAGTTCCCAGATTTGGATCCTGGGCGCTGATCTAGCACCACTTGTCAAACCACACTGTGGCAGCATCCCACATAAAATGGAGGAAGACTGGCAACAGACGTTAGCTCAGAGTCAATCCTGCCCACAAAAAAAAAGACAAAGAAAGGCGGCAAAATTGTACATGTTATGAAAACTCATTCAGAGCACAGGCAAATTTAAACTTACCAATTCATTTTATGAAGTTAGCCATAACTAGGATAACAAACCCAGACCAATATAGCAAAAGAAAAGGCCAATATCACTAATAGATATACATGAAAAAATTCTTCAATGCAATAGAAGCAATCATCAAGGTCACAGTATTAAGCAACACATCAGGACTACGGAGAAATTTAAGGATGGCTCAATGTTTAAAAGCTTATTAATGTATTTTACTGACATCAACAGATTCAAGAAGAAAAATCACACGAAAATCTCAACAGAGGCAGAAGAAACATTTGCTAAAATCGATAGTCCATTTTTTATTAAAAACAAAGCACGGAAAAACTCTTATCCAATAAGAAATACTCTTTTTTATCTCAATAAATTGTGTCTACAAGAACTTTCAGCAAAATTACATTTAGTGATGAAACACAAGCATCCCTATGACAATAACGAACAAGAGAAGAATGTCAGCTATCATCACTAAGATTTAAATATTGTACTGGAGATCCTGGATAACGCAAGAACACACAAAAAAACTAGGGATAACTACTGGAAAGTAAGAGATAAATGTCACAATTTGTAGATGATATGATGGGCTACTCTGAAATTTCAAGAGAATTGACTGAAAAAATATTAGAATAAGAGAGTTCAGCAATGTGAGAGTTATAAGACTTCCATACAGAGAATCAATAGTTTCCCTTTATGTCAGCAATATTCAATTAGAAAATTTTGGTAAAAACCTATTCACAAGAGCAACAAAAACTAAAATATATAGAAATAAATTTTTAAGTGTGTAATTCTTTACAAAGAAAACTATTTAAGACTTTCCTATAAGACATAGAAGATGAAGATAAACAGGAAAACACACCATGTTCCTAAAAGGGAAGACTTATATTTTCCCATTTTCCACAAATTACTTTATAAATTCAGTGTAGTGACAAGCAAAGTCTCAGGGTTCAAATGGAATTTGACTAATTCTAAAACACCCGGGAGAGAAAAATGCTTTAAGAATAGTCAAAATTTATTTTTAAGAAGAAAAACAAAAGGGAATGTACCCCATAAAGTATTTAAATTTGCTTAAAAATAATGGTTTATTCACTTAATCACTCAGTGAATCTTGAATGGATCCACACTATATACTAGAACTCTTCTAGGAAAACATAAATGAACAAAACATACAAAAATCACTGCTCTCAGAAATATAAAAGACTTCTGATTCTGATAATGGTGAACTAGGTAATCTTGATAAATTCCCTCTCACTGAGGTCAACTAAAAAGGTTGGATTAATAAAAAACAAAAACATCACAGAAGCATCAGAGAAATAACAAGACGGTGAAGAATTATCAAGTTAAACTCAAGAGAAGAACAAAAACCCAGCAGGGACACCTAGTAATGAAACCTTTTATTTTTGCCCTGAGGCCACATCCTATCTGGAAGGAATAGCCAGGAAACTAAGCTGCACTTTGGACGGCCTTGTGGGGCCAAGCAGAACAAAACTACATTCACAAGGTAAAAACTGAACCAGAGGTATACAAGCCTTCCCATGATGTAGCTCTTATAGCCTGACTTTGGGTGATCTGGACAGAACAAGAAAACACAAACCTTGAACTTGCATTAAGGTGTTCTAAACTGGTAGTACCTCTAGGTGCAAGGCAGAAGTAAATGAAAATCCTATGGGGAAAGATACTATCCTGGGCCTGAAAATAGTTCTACAAGTGTTTCCAAATATTATGTCCAGCACGTTGTTAAATATACAGGCAGACAAGAAAACAAGACGGCATGAACAAGCAGAAAAAGGAATATCAATAAACTCAGACCCACAATTATTTCAGATCCTGAAATTATCAGAAGCAGAACATAAAAATAATTATGTAGGCCATATTCAAAGAAATAATAGGTTACTAGAAAACAATAAAAACCATATCTGAAAAAGAACCAACAGAAATTCTAGATCTGAAAAATATAACCCAAATTAAGACTTCAGTGGATGAGGTTTAACAGTAGCTGAGAAAATTAGTAAACTGGAAGATAGGTCAAAGGAAACTATCTAAAATGTAGCACCAAGAGAAAAGAGATGGAAAATGGAAAAGATAAGGTAAAAAATCTAGAGGACGCAGCGAGAAGCATTTAACACACATTTAACCAGAGTTCCAAAAGAATGAGAGAGAGAAAATGAAGCAGAATAAATAGGTGAGAGACAATGGCTAGGAAATTTCTAGGAGCCCAGCAGAGATCTCAAACTTGAAAATGATAAAAGAGAAATTCTTATCTAGATATATTATGGTAAAACTTTAGAAAACTAGAGATAAAGATAAATATCTTTAAAGCAGCTAGAAAATATAGAACAGCTTATTTTAAAATGAGCAACAGTTAAATTTGGAAGAATGAGGCAGGAAACGGTGGAATAACAGCTTCAACATGCAGCGGAAAAATAACTGCTAATCTAGACAGAATTCCATACCCAGTGAAAACAACCTTCAAGAATTAGATGAATAAAGATGCCTTCAGACAAACAAGAATATTTGCCACAAAATGACCTTAGGAAGTTCAAAAGGATGAATTTGATTACATTAAGAACTGTTCATCAAGAATCACCATAAAGCAAGTAGAAAATAGAGTTACAAAGTAGACTATACGTGTAAGTATAAAATCTAAGGATTAGTGGAATTCCTAAGTCAATAAGAAACTAGATAGACACCCCAACAGAAAAAATGGGCAATTTGTAAAGATATTTCTCAAAAGAAGAAATCTAAGTGACCAATAAACCTAAGAAAGGATAATCAATCTCATAGTAATCAGGAAAATGTAAATGAAATTCACAAGGAAATATCACCATTCACACAGCTGGCAAAAATTTAAAAGTCTGACAACAGTATTAGTGAGGATATGGAGGAACAAGAACTCTTATGAACTCCTTGTGAGAATATAAATGTGTACAGTCATTATGGAAAACAGTCTGACCTTGTCTAAGAAGCATATACTCTATGACCAAAAATTTCCACTCCTTGGCACGTACCCTAGAGAAACTTGCAGATATTTACCAGGAGAAAACAAGAGTGTTCATAGCTTCACAGCTCTTAAAAGCCACACACTGAAAACAACCCAAACGTCTATCAACAATAAAAAAGGGGGATAATTAAACGGTATCACATCAATACATGCAATAATACACAACAAGGAAAATGAATAAACTATAGCTACAGGCAAAAACAGAGATGAACTTCAAAGATAACATTAAGTAAAAGCAGCAAGTCACAAAAGAATATATGTGGTATAATTCCATTTCTATAAAATACACAAACAGGCAAAACTAAACTAGATGCATTCATAGGTCAAACTGTCACCAACAGCAAACGAACGATTGTTAGAGATGTCAGAATAATGGTAACGTGAGGGAGAGAATTTAACTGGAGTAGGGAACATAGAGGTTTCTGGGGATGCCTGAAATGTCCTACATCTTGTCCTTGGTAATTAAAATATTTCTTTAAATGGTAACATGTTTACGTACTTTATCTCTCAATAAAAAATAATTTGGCAACAGGCAATTTGTGCATACTTTAAAAATTTCTGGTATTTATAATATTTGCAAAAGTCTGGCCTATTAGACTAAGAGTTCAGCTTTCCAAATCCAATTTAAAATGTGCAATGAGTAATCAACTTCAACTTGCAATTTTTTTTTCTTCTGCTTTTTCTCCCCAAATCCCCCCAGTATATAGCTGGGTATTTTAGTTGTAGGTCCTTCTAGTTGTGGCATGTGGGACACCGCCTCACCGTGGCCTGACGAGTGGTGCCATGTCCACACCTACAATCCAAACCAGCAAAACCCTGGGCCGCCGAAGTGGAGCACGCGAACTTAACCACTCGGCCACGGGGCCGGCCCCATCAACTTGCGATTTTTAAGTAAAAATCTTAGTAAGTTATATGAGGCATTGAAATATTCAACAGAATTCAAAGTTCTACACATTTATTGAGTTAATTTATAAGAGATACTTATGTACTTGAGAAGGTTTTAAATCAGGGAAGTGAGATTATTGAAACAGAAACAACACACTGAATTTATAAATGTAGTTTACAATATTTTAAAAGTTTCATTTGTAAATGGGACTAAACATTATTCTAAAACCTCCTTAAAATATTTGCTGAAATTTCCAAACACATTAATAGAAAAATAAAATCCCAGAGGGTGATCTTAAAAGTTTAAGAAAGAACTAATAACTCTTTGAGTTTATATCTTTAAGAAATCAAACACCTTCTTAAAAGCAAATAATCTTTTTCTACCAACTTGTTCAGAAGATGCAAAACAATTCACACTCTCTCATTCCCCTACCACAAAAACGAACAAACAAAAAACCTATGCCAGAAGATTTTGGGGGTTAATTTTGTCTAGGATTATACTCAAAAACATAACCACTTGACAATTAATATGGTGACACACAATACTTTCAAAATAGTTATTCTTTCCTTTACTCGAAGGGGGAAGGTCACAACCTAACTCAAGTATTTGATAAGCGCTAGAACTCCCCCAAAATGCACATTGATGTACAAACAAAATTTTAGAATAAATAAAACAAAGATCTCTTGAAAAAACTACAGAGTATCAGGACACTTACTCTCTCTCGTACCAGAGGCCAACCACAATATCAAGCGTAAGTTATTTTAGACACGTCATCTACTAAAACATAATCATATGTATCTTTATTTTAAATCAAAGTGTTAGTGTCTTTATAATCAAAAGTTCAGTTATTTTGTTTTCATTTGTCCCTTAAGGATGAACAATATACGACTTTTTACCTATTAAATAAGCAAAGTTTTAAAGAATAGATTGGCAAAGACAAGAGGAATTGTAAGCCATTCTCATACATTGCAGGTAGGAGCAGACAGTTATAAGACCGTCTGGAAAAACAATTTGGAAATTCATATATAAAGCCTCAAATATGTGAGCAATATACAACTCTTTGATTCACCAATTCTACTACTAGAAATTTATCCTAAAGAAATAATTTTGGATGTGCACAATTTACTACAAGAATAGTTGCAAAAAGCATTCTTTATAATACCAAAATTCTGGAGATGACATAAAATGATCAACAAAAGACGAGTAAAAATGTGTAGTACAAGGGAACATGATGCAAAAATTTAAGGTATATATAAGAATATTTAGTGGCATGAAAATGCTCACGGATCTACTGCTTAAGAGAATAAAGAGTCAATTTCTACACAGCATGATCTCATGTTTTTTAAAAAGGAAAAGTCTATGAACAGAAAAACAAGACTAGAATGAGTATATGACAGATTTTTAATGTGATGGAATTCTATTCATTTTTCCTTTTACTTGTCTAAAACTTTAGTAACAGGAAAAGACCCCAGTAATTTATTAGATTATATCTACTCTTTGTTCATCTTGACTTCTGGCTTCACCTAAGAAGCCTGAGGTATGAAGAATCAATTCTATAAGTTTTACTCATTATTACTGTTGTTTACCTAAGCAATTACAAGTATTATTCAATTATTTGTTATCAATTATTTGTAACCAAGAAAAACCAAGATTATATCTATGTCTATAATGTAGGATAGAGGACCAAGAAATTAAAGTTATGGGCTATTGATGGAAGATCAATAACTGAACTTGATTGGCCCTCAAAATAAGAAAACAAGTTCCCATTGTTAAAATAAATTTGATAACTACCTTCTATAGCAGGGGTGAATGCTGATTCTAGTCTATGATTTGAAATATCCCTGATGCTGACTGGTTTTTGTCACATCCAAGTATTAACTATCTAGTGTGATCTAATAAAAACAATTGAGTCTTTGTCCCTGGTACAGGGCTCCTAAAACCCTGGAAATGTGCAGAGTTATTAAGAGTGTCTTTTGTACGCTAACAAGATGACTGGTGGCTGGGAGCCCCTAGACAGCTGCAGGATGGGAGCTGGTCACAAGAAAGACCAAGGCATGACTAGAACTTTCAGCCCTACTGCCCACCAGACATCGAGGGGGGCGGAAAGAGCCAGAGATTGAGCTGATCACCAGTGGCCAATGATTTAACCAATCGTGCCTATATAATGAAACCTCTATAATAGTAACACCCTAAGTGATGGGGTTCAGAAAGCTTCCCAGGGGCCAGCCCCGTGGCTGAGTGGTTAAGTTCTCATGCTCTGCTTCAGCGGCCCAGGGTTTGCCAGTTTGGATCCTGGGCACAGACGTACACAGCACTCGTCAAGACATGCTGTGGCGGCATCCCACATAGAAGAACTAGAATGACTTACAACTAGGATATACAACTATGTACTGGGGCTTTGGGGAGAAAAGAAAAAAAAGAGGAAGACTGGCAACAGATGCTAGCTCTGGGCCAATTTCCCTTCACCAAAAATAAAAACAAAAAAACCTTCCAGGTTGGTGAAACACATCAAATGCTGGGAGGATGGCACACCAGAGAGGGCATGGAACCTCCATGTCACCCTCTCCCCATATACCTTGCCCTATGCACCTCTTCCATTTGGCTGTTCCTGAGTTATATCCTTTATAATGAACTGGCAAAGTCAAGTATTTTCCTGAGTTCTGTGAGCTGTTCCAACAAAGTACTGAACCTGAAGGGGGTTGGGTTGTGGGAATCCCCAATTTATAGCTAGTTAGTCAGAAGTATGGGTGACCTGACACTTGCAACTGGCATCTGAAGTGTGGGCAGTCTTGTGGGACTGAGCCCTTTAACCCATGGTGTCCGATGCTAACTCCAGGTAGTATAATGTCAGAACCGAACTAAATTTTTGGACACCTAGTTGGTCTCTGGAGAATCAGAGAATTGGTTGCTGGTGGTGGAAAATGCTCCAGATCTAGTATTCAAAGATTAGTCTATACAATGTACTACTCAAATTTAAAATTAACTTGGGAAAACAAGATACATTATCATCACAACTATAGAGAAACAATAAGAGAAGAGAAAGCAATGTTAACAGGGCTGGCCCGGCGAAGTAGCAGTTAAGTTTGCATGCTCCACTTTTGTGGCCCAGGGTTTGCTGGTTTGGATCCTGGGTGCGGACCTACACACCACTCATCAAGTATCCCACACAGAAGAACTAGGACTTACAACCAGGATATACAACTATGTACTGGAGCTTTGGGGAGGGAAAAAAAAAAAGAGGAAGATTGGCAACAGATGTTAGCTTAGGGCCAATCTTCCTCACCAAAAAGCATACAAGAAGAAGAAAGCTGCATCTATTTTAAAAAAAGGAAAAAGAAAGAAATATAACAAGCTGTTAAAAGTAAATGTCTTTGAGTGATGATATCACAGGTCATTTTCCCCATTTTTTACTTTTTCATTTTCCTAATATTTCTAAGATGAGCATATAATACACTTTCTTAGTGAGAAAAAACTATCAAAGCTGTCTTTTGAACTGATATGTTTTAACTGTACAGTTCCTGAGAGAGAACATGTACGTCCTTAAGAAAAGTTTATCTATTAAATTACTACTGAAAAACTATCATCTCCCTAACTCATAATAATCATAATTAAATACATGAAATCTAAAATAGAGATATTAGCTATGCCATGGTTCTAATATATTCTAAAGAAGCATAGTGGAAACTACTACTTTTGGAGAAGTTAACTTTTTTGTCTTGATGCTATTAAACAAATCAACACTTTCAACCAGATTAAAAAAAGATAAAAGCTTTAATACTAAAGAAGCTCAAATATATTAGGCAAAGATAAAGTAATTAAAAGAAAATTAGGCAATACTGAATACTGAATCAGCCCTCATTTTGACATAAAAACCTATCATGTAACTTGAGACAATACTTTATAGTTTTCTTCTAGTGGAAGCCAAATGAAAATATATCATTAACTTTCTAGTTGCCAAATAAAAGGAAAACTTTGCTTCCTAAAGAATTTTTAAAATTTTGTAACCCAAATATCTTTATTACGAAAAACATTCGTTGTTTAATTTACTTTTCAAGAATCTCTCTAGTTTACGGTTTCTAATTTGAATTATTCTATTTTGATGATTTAATTCTTTCATATCCAGAAAGATTAATTGTTTTAAATATAATTTAACATAGAAAATTTAATCTAGGTTTGCTTATGAAATCTGTGGTCAAACTACCTATTCTACTTGTATTCCTATATCTTGATAGTTGGTTTAATAAGAAAAAATCATAGAACTATAACAATTAGAGCTGAAACGGGCTCTAGAGATTGCTAGTCTTCCTACCAGGAATCCTTTTCTTTTTACTTCTGAACTCTACTTGCTATGTAGTACGTCTTCCATTAAAAAAAATGTTCATAGATAACCATTAACGAAATTTACTCAATAAGGGACAACTAGTATCTCAGACTTGGTATATTTTCAGTCAAAAGTTAATAAATTTGATGTTGTAGTCTCTTTATAGTGAAATACACAATTTCTATTATTTCTATTATTATCTTTTGAAAAATCAAAATAACTTACAAATACTTTTTTCTGATCTAGCAATCCAAGGATCAGGATACCTTTGGTTGAGAATGATCCATCTAGTCCAATTTCCTAATTTCTCATATAAGGTATGTGAATAAAGCAACTTTCTAAGCGTAAATAATTGAACTCAAATGAAACACAACCTCAAGTGGACTATTTCCACCAGTGATAAAAATAAGAAATGCTTCACACTATAGACATTATAATTTTCTTTAAATCTTTTTTTATTTAGAGATTTTTCTGGTAAGGAGATATACCATAGGAAAGCAATTTCACTGGCAGTGAGGTATGT